CAGAAGTTTCAGGGATAGCGAGACATCCTGGGTTCTTCCACGGCAGAAATGAGATCCCAGACAGAGGATGGAGTCAGAGGCCACCAACCACTTCGGGAGGTGGATTCAGGGGAAGGATTTGTTTAGTTCTAGATCAAAAGGTTTTGAGTTATAGCACTCATAACATAAGCAGATTTAATAATTGTACTTACTTAGCTACTTAATTTTATTTAGGTCATGAGCCTCTCAAGAAAAATTCCTATTTGGGAATGTATTCTATTTTCTAAGTAGGAATTAGAAGCAGAATAATAACATCAACACCTCAAATTTTCATAAGGATAAACTCCAAAATCGTGTACAGCAGCAACTACGATAAACGACCTTTGCTCATTCATTCAGTGCTCACTCACCAAGGAGAGCAAGAAAATGATTGAAGAAAACAATTCCTTGTAGCTTTTGAGTTTATGGGAGCTAAAACCTTTAAAACACAAACTTTTTTTGAAATGGACCGATAGTAATTGGACACAAAGGATTTTTGAGATTTGCTCAAAATATAATTAATAGGTACAAAATGTTTTTTTAATTGAAAACTCTCAATTTATGTGAGAAATTGAAGCTTTCCTTTTTTTAATTTAATTCTTTTATTGTTGTTCAAACTTACCCCCACCAATCCCCCCCAGCCATCCCTACCTCCCTGATGGTTTTGTCCGTGAGTCCTTTATAGTTGTTCCTAAAAACCCTTTTCCCCCCACCAATCTCCCCCTCAGCCAACCCCACCTCTTCCCCCCCCAACTCCCCCCCCCAGCCATCCCCACCTCCCCTGATGGTTTTGTCCATGAGTCCTTTATAGTTGTTCCTGAAAACCCTTTCCCCCCATTATCCCCTCCCACCTCCCTTCTGATTACTGTCAGAATGTTCTTAGTTTCATTGTCTTTGGTTATATTTTGCTTGCTTATTTGTTTTGTTGATTAGGTTCCACTTAAAGGTGAGATCATATGGTATTCTTCTTTTATCACCTGGATTACTTCACTTAGCATTACGCTCCCAAGTTCCATCCATGCTGTCATAAAGGATAGGAGCTCCTTCTTTCTCTTTGCTGCATAGAATTCCATTGTGTAAATGTACCACAGTTTTTGGATCCATTCATTTACTGATGGGCACTTAGGTTGCTTCCAGCACTTGGCTATTGTACATTGTGCTGCTATGAACATTGAGGTGCACAGGTTCTTTTAAATTGGTGTTTCAGGGTTCTCAGGATATAATCCCCACAGTGGAATTGCCAGGTCAAAAGGCAATTTCATTTTTAGTTTTCTGAGGAAATTCCATTCTGTTTTCCACAGTGGCCGCACCAGTCTGCATTCCCACAAACAGTGCACTAGGGTTCCCTTTTCTAAACAACCTCTCCAACACTTGTTGTTTGTTGATTTGTTTATGATGGCCATCCTCGGTGGTGTGAGGTGGTATCTAATTGTGGTTTTAATTTGCATCTCTGATGGCTAGTGATGCTGAGCATATTTTCATATGTCTCTGGGCCCTCTGTATGTCCTTCTTCCAGAAGTGTCTGTTCAGGTCTTTTGCCCATTTTTTAATTGGGTTTTTTTATCTTCCTGGAGTAGAGTCATGTGAGTTCTTTACATATTTTGGAGATCAAACTCTTGTCTGAGGTATCATTGGCAAATATGTTCTCCCACATGGTTGGTTCTTTTTTCATTTTAATGTTGTTTTCTTTAGCTGTGCAGAAGCTTTTTATTTTGATGAGATCCCATTTGTTTGTTCTTTCCTTTATGTCCCTTGCTCTAGGGGACATACTGGTGAAAATATTGCTGCGTGGAATATCTGAGATTTTTCTGCCTATGTTCTCCTCTAGGACTTTTATGGTGTCACAACTTTTATTAAGTATTTTATCCACTTTGAATTCATTTTTGTGTATGGTATAAGTTGGTAATCAAGTTCATTTTTTTGCATGTAGCTGTCTAGGTCTCTCAATAACATTTGTTGAAGAGGCTATTTTTACTCCATTTTATGCTGCTGTCCCCTTGGTATACAGCCTTTTTCTAAAAAATATGTTACAGAAAAGTCTTTTTTTCTGGACTATATTCCAATGTGCACAGAAATTCATGGTGTTAGCTATGCCCGCTAGAACCATCTATCTCAATGAATAGGATGCAAATAGGAAATGACACACTTACACTATACTCACTCCTACACATTTAGTATCTGACTACTAGAAGTTTGATCAGTGACTTTATTGACAGAATTGTATCATTTATTCTCTCCCATATTCCCCAAATGCTGTTCTATTATGGCTGGGGAATAGCAATAAAAGGCACACCTTTCACCATAAGCCTCTTTGTATCTTTTGAACTCAGAACCATGTGACTATATTTGTATTTAATAATGAGTAAAATTAGGGGAAAATTGTACTTTAAGAAATAATACTGCAATATTTAGAACTACGAATAGCAAATATCGGTAGGTGCTTATGAGGAGCATCTGCAAGCTTAAGGCCAGAAGTGTTTTGCACTATCTGATTTTTCATGTGCATATATTACTTAGACAAGTATTAAAATATTTAACAAAAACATAATTGTAAAATATTGGAAACTTCAAACATTTATGAAGAAAATTAATATAACCTATTATCTCATCCCCCAAAGACAGTAACATTTTGATGTATCACATCCTTTTTAGTATTTGCTTTCCTCTAAAAATATGTTTATATGTGGCTTTCTTACTTCTTTTTCTCCCCTACTTTATTTTGGCCCCTTTTTATTTTTCAAACTCAGACATATCTTTGAAACCATTTTTAAACAGATAATATATCCAGCACTTTTCCGGGTAAAGAAAATATTCTCAAGCAGTTTTTTTTTAACAGTGATGGAAATGGCACGTTCTGGCAATGTTTACCGATATTTTTGCTATCTGTGAGTTGAATCCTCTGAGATTTAAATTAATTGTATAGTTTGATCTGTTCACATTTCCTGATGGTAGAACCTCTGCTAACAAACAAACAGTGTGATTGGCAATGTCTTCGGCTCAGAACTCCAGAGGCATCACATTCCAGTCCTTACAAGGTAGGAGCTAACTGGGGAAGAGACCAGTCGGTACTGTCTGGTTGGTCGTGCTGTATTTGTCTGTGTGTGTGTGTGTGTGTGTGTGTGTGTGAGAGAGAGAGAGAGAGAGACTCACTATTTTTCTACTGATTCTTTTATAATTTTTATGATTTTTTTCACCACAAATATTTTCAAATCTGGGCATTGGAGCACAGTAGGCAAGAATGTGAGGTCTTGGGAGGCACACAGGCCTGGGGTTAGAGGCTGCTCTATGAGGAGCTAGTGACACAGTCCTGGGCAAGAGTCACCTCCAAGCCTCTGGGCCCCGTCTGCACGTCACCGTGGAGCATGTCATACAATATCATTTTATGAGTTGATATGTCATTTGGTCAAGTATCAGATTATATATATGATCTGGACATATAATCTTTCTCCACAGATACATATAAATAGAAATTATTGATATAGAGATATAATGTCAGACATCAGGGTTGATCAAGAAATATTTCCCTACTTTAAATTAGGTGTTGTTCATTCATTTCAGTGTCTGGGGCAGAGTGGCAGTCAGAACACAACATGTTGGCACAGAGGAGATCTCAAGGGACAGTCAGCTCCACTGTGCAGACACCGCCTACCTCCCAGCTGGGGCCCACTCCCGATTTCTGCGGCTCATCCCTGCACAACAGGGAGGGTGATCAAAAGCAGGGAGGCTGCATCACTGCTTCATCCAAAGACTCCCGTGGCTTCTGTCTCACGTGAAATAAAATGTGAAGCTCTCCCGTGGCCCTCTGAGGCCACCCGACCCCCAACTCCATGGCCCCCTCTACCGCTCTCACCTCCAACTTTCTATCCATAGCATGCAGACAATTAAATGTTCTTGGACCGTCATTAATTCATCGATTCATTCAGCCTCTGAGGCCCAAACATCGTGGCTCCTGCTCCTGTTGGGGATCCCATGCCCTGGCTGTTTCCCCTGCGGGACACTCAGCCCTGGACAGCCCCACTGCTCCCTGAGGCACGTCAGGTCCCAGACTCCCTGAGGACCGCTGTGTAAAACCAGCAGCCCTCGCCCTGCCGCCCTGCTCATCCCTGGACCATTTCACACACTCTCTACAGAGCACTTCATCCAGAGACCGTCTATTTGATTATCAGCAGTCTCTGCCTACCAGAATACTAGTGCTGAAGAGCAGAATACTAGCTGTGACTGCTGCATCCAGGCACGCTGAGAGTGCCTGGCACCCTCCGTTTTATATATATTTTTTCCAATGAGGGAATGACTTAAACATTAAGAATTTAGTTTAAGTTCACCTTATCAATCAACTGTGTTAAAAGCCAAACATTAAAAGAACGTGAAGGGTTTGGGAGAAATCCCTCTCTCGCACTTTCCACCCCAGATCCTGGGCCAGGAAAGACTGCCGGAATCTGGCTCCAGGGCCTCAGGTGTCAGGATTCTGGAAACACTGAGTGCTGTCCTCACATCCAGTCAAAGCTCTAAGGGACTTTTCACAGATAAAGAGGTGGTTTCTTCTCGAAGAGGCAGGGACTCCAAAATACTTTATACAAACTCTGTTTCAGAATGAACCAAAAAGCAATGTAAATCCCCATTTCTACGTCTGTGCTCTCCATGAGGTGCATGGCTTAGCAGGAACACCTGTGTCTAATCCTCTACTCCATCCTCATATTCACACACCCATGATGGTGCCAGGCACAGTCTAGGCATGAAGTAAGTGGTGGAAGGAATTAGTGAAGAAAAAGAATATGCTCTCGATCAAATGAGAGGGCAGAGAAATGGCTAAGAATATGGTACAACCCTTTCCACTAAAGACAGTCAAATTCAAATTCTAGCACAAAAGGGTTTTTCTTAGCTTTTAGAAATGACCTTATTACTGTTTTTTTTAATGCCTCATGCCTTTGGCTTTTTTCTCACATGCACCACTTGAATGGAAATAGGTAGAAAGTAAAGGGTACCTGGATAGGGAATTTTCCCATAGGTGACGATTTCATATAGGAGAATTCCGAAGGACCACACATCAGACTTAATAGTGAAACATCCAAAATTGATTGCTTCCGGAGCTGTCCACTTGATGGGGAATTTAGCACCTAGCAGAGAAGACAAAGGAATCTTACTTGAGCTTCTGAGTCGACACAAACATATCATGGCCCTGTGATCCTCTGCTGAGAAAATTATGATTATTTGTTTTGAATAGGTAACACACGGTACAAAGCAGAGATGATACGAAATGTTATACTTCAAATGTCTGCCTGCCTCCTGTTTCCCTTTTGGGCACTTCCCTGTTAAGGAGTCAAGTTTCTTGTGTCCTGTCCCAGGGATACCCTAACCAGCCCACCTTAAATGTAAATGTACATGACACGGGCTATAAGGCATTTTTTCTTAGCTTGTCCATTTGTCCCTCGACACCATCGCCTAAGCATGCAGGGCACAGGCGGCGAACACAGGGCCCTCAGGCCGAATCTGGCCCTGCACCTCGTTTTATCCCACCTGGCACCTTGTTTCTACCCAGAGGCAGCACCAAGCTCTTGCTTACCAGTTAAGGAGCAGTTCCATTTACACGGTTCTAAAATCACATTCGGCCCTTTGAAGGCAACCGCAAGGCTGATGTGGCCCCCCAGTGAACATGAGTTTGACACCCCTGATGTACAAGTTTCCAGTTGTGAGGATGCAAAACACAGTTATTCTTGTATTAGTATTTCTTAATTCTTGTATTAGTATTTCTTAATTCTTGTATTATTTTCCATACAGACTGGAAACCTACCTTTGCCCCACCCTGTATTTATCTTTAGTGTTCACATGGAATACTAAAGTGTTTATGTGGAATATCAGTATCTTGATAAGCCCCCACCAAAAGAAATGTCAGACGGTACCGCACACTTGAACGTTCCTACTTTCATCCGAAGGAGCCAACCAGACATTACTCCACTTTAGGAATTGGGTAGGATGATGCTCTGCCTACAGTGAGGCAGTGATGAAACTCGGTTTCTCCTTAGGAGCTGAGGAGGCGAAGGGACACCTAGCCTTTGGGTCACTGGGGAAGCAAACCCGGCCCGAGGAACTGCAGGGTCCCCTTGAGGGAAGTAGGGCCTCAGGCACAGGCTGTTGCTCCTACACCCTGGAAAGGCTAGGGGTTTCCACCCACAACTTAAAAATTTTTAACCAGATTTGCCTTTATTATGTCTCTGCTTCAGAATTTTTTGCGGTGTCAGCCAAAATCAGAAATCAGAATAAGAACAAAAAGGACAGAAGAAAGCTTCACAGAGCAGCTATTGTGTGCGGTGCTCTCACTGTAGCACATTCCAGCATGAAACCCAATGCCCTCTGGGCAGCAGCGGAGGAGGGCGGGAGGGCTGTAGGTAGAGTTTGACTCAGGCTCTGCTGATTCCCCATGGATATGACCCCTGGCAAATCACTTATTGTTTCTGTGCCTTCTTGGCACCTCCATCTCTAAAATGAGGAAAGAACGGAACCTCCCCAAGTTGCTGTCAAGGTTAAGTGGTTTTACCTGTGTGCTTGGCACAGTGTAAATGCCAATGGAAGGTTCATTGCATTACTGTTTACTTCTAGAACCTGAGTTCTCTGCACTAAGCTGCCTGTCTCGTTCATGAGAACAGTTATTTTTGTGATACTCTAGGCTTGTCAAATTCAACAAAACCAGTGAAATACATTCTAGCTCATGTACTCTGAAGCGAGAGCTCCTGGGTTTGAATCCTGATTCTACAACTTTACTGTGGGACCTCAGAAGCTGCGGAACCTCTCTGTTTCCTCACCAGCGAGGTAGGAATCATCATCATTACCATCACTGCACAGGGTTAAAGATAAATGAGATAATGTATGAAAAGCACTTGGAATAGCGCCTGCCATGCTGCAAACTGCTCACTCTGTTTTTGCTATTATTTTTTAAGCTGCTTTTCCTCATACTGTTCTCCTGCACCTACCTTTCTATTGAGGGCAATGAAAGGTCAAGGATAGGTTTAATAACCCATCTGAGAGAACATAGGATTGAGGCAGGAGGAGAACCACCTTAAGTATGATGAAGGCAAGAAACACTACACACGTCAAAGAAATGTTTCAATGTGTTTGTCACTTCCGTAGGTCCTGTGGGCACCTTCCAGAAATAACACACGTGTAGTTAAAAGGAAAATAATCCTTGTTGAGTAATTCTTAGGAATGTCAAGAAAATGCTTGGCTCTTTAAAGCACTGCAAAAGTATTCACTCATCTTTAGTGAGGGAGACCTTCAGAATCCTCACAGAGTAAGCGTCACGCATGAGTCGGGAGTAGCCAAGGCTGGTACGATGCAGACGGGGTGCACTCAACTTGGAGCAGCGTGCCAGGAGCCAGACTCATGCCTCTCTGTGCATTTTTATTTATTTAATTTTGTTTAACATTTTATGTATCTTTGCAATTAAAAAAATGTTATGTATTAATTTCAGAGAGAGAAGGAGGGAGACAGGGTGCTAGGGGAGAGAGAGAGAGAAACATTGACTTGTTGTTCCTCTTATTTATGCATTCATCCCTTGATTCTTATATGTGCCCTGACTGGGGATCCAACCAGAACCTTGGTGTATGGGAACCAACTGAGCTACCCAGCCAGGGCCACTCTGTGCATTTTTGATTCACATGTATAATATGAGAAATGTGGGAAAGTAAAGGAATGTATTTTTGTAGCATTATATTTACTTCTACGTGTATAATAATTTCTATGTTTTATTTTATAATTAAAAGGCCAGAATATAGAATATGAAATTACTGTTACAAATATTTTCTCTACACAGTAAAAAAGTATACTTAATTATTTGGGTGAAAAGCTTTAAACATATAATATAGACAAAGAATCTTGACTTTACCAAACTCTTTGTGTTTTGCTTTGCTTCCTTAAATTACAAATGATAGCATTTGTAAATGTAAAAGTATCATGTGGAGTTCATCGAGAGAGTCATTTTTTGAACAAATACTAGAGTAGAACCACGAACAGCAACTATGGCACATTTAGAATATTGTACCAAATGAGTTCTTTTTAAAAAAAGACTATTGTTACTGCTTTGTTGAAAAAAGACAAAAACAAAATTAAATCGTAACGAAGCACGCAACGATCACCAGGGGAACACACCTTCCCTTGCTGTGTACTCGTTATCTTCGATCACGCGAGCAAGGCCGAAATCCGCGATTTTGCACATGAGTGACTCAGAGACCAGGACGTTAGCAGCTCGCAGGTCCCGGTGAATGTAGTTCTTCCTCTCGATATACGCCATTCCCTCTGCGATCTGAAAGTAGAAGATTGTCGTTTTCAGTGGAGGGTAGGCTATGGAGAGGGCCATCAAGGAAAACCCGAAAACCTGAGGGGTTCCTGAAATCCTTTCATGTATGTTATTCTGATCCTTCATTTTAAAAACAGTGGGTAAATGACAATCGCCATTTTGAATCTTTTCTAAACTCACTGCCCCCAAATCTGAAACGATGGTAATCGCCACTCAACATGATCTTTTAAGTTGCTACATCTCAACATTTTCCAATGTGTGAAGAATCTTTTTTAGGCCCTACTAAATTCTTGCGGGTAGGTATACAGATGTCATTATCCCAGTTTTGCAAATGAGAAAACAGCTGAAGAAAGTCACGCACTAATACAAAGAAGTTACTAGGGTATCAAGAACAGGATGTCCTTGGTCACCCTTGGTCAGCAGCATCCTCCCAGTCCAGTTAATCAACAGCCCATGGAACCGGTTCTCCCAGTTCTCCCAGCACAGCCCCTCCAGGATGACCAGAAAGATTCACTCTGACAGCAAAGCATGATGGCAGGAAAGAATTCAAGATTTAAACAAAACAACAAAATAGGGGAGGTGAAACCACTATTCGTTACTTACTACAAAATCAGGATTTTAAGGAAAACAGTAGCAGAATATTAAGATAAGTACCTAAAATAAAGGAAGAGACAAAGGTAGGAGGAAGGGAAAGAAGGAAGGAAGGGAGGGAGGGAGGGAGGGGCCCAAGTAGTTGTGTCTGGTGGGCAGTTACAGGGAAACTGTGATCAGGATTACGTCACAGGAATGAATGTATTCTGCTAAATTCTACCCTGAACACCAGATGGCCCAGCTTGGAGGACCTGACTATCCCCACCTACCTGCAACGACATCCCTCCTTATGACTCAATTCGAACCCCAGGTTCAGCCAGGCTGTGTTACTTAGCAAAGGTTTAGCTCCTAATGACTGGGTCCACTTCTCCGTGACCTCCTCCTAGAACACCTTTCCCCACTCTCCGCCAATCTCTCAGCTCCCTTTCTGCTCGGAGGGCCTGCTCTTAATTCCTCCTGGGTACTGTAATTTCTCTTCACTCTACGCCTGCCCACAGTGGTCAGTTTGCACAAAAACCATTTGCGCCTACTGATCATAGTGTTGTCATTGTTCTAATGTTTTTTACTGTGCTTACAGTTGTCATGCTTTCCTCCAGGATGGAGGCCACACCTGACGTTTTTTCTGTTCTCACTAGTGTCTATTACAACCTTCAACCTTCTTACCAAACTCCTTCTCAAGCAAAGAAAGTTCTTTGGAAAGTGAGCTGGGTTTTTAATACTACCAGAATACCATGTTGTTGGCACACAGCTGCAGGAATTTGGCAGAGTATACTTTTTGTGGCCACAAGATCACTTGTATAATAAATAATTTGTGTGCATTGGGTTAGTCTCTAAGTCCTGTCAGCCCAGAAGTTTGAGTCTGACCAATGCCAAGGAATACTGTACTGAACAGAGAAAATCATACATCAGAAAGAACAAGAGAGGTCCAATCTTTTCCTTTAGTAGAAATGACAATGTAATAACATTGGGTTCTATAACCAATAACAACGCGGGCAGCACTTGAGCAGTGCGTGAAGTGGAGGAGACCAGCCTAAGTGATGCCTGCAGGGTGAACTCGGAGGCTAGACCTGGCCTGCACAGCTCGGGCAGCCCTCGCTTCCATAATGGTGTGGGCTCCTGCATCCCTCAAAGGGAACACTTCAATCCATTGTACAAGTCCAACCAGGTCCAAGCTCCTTGACTCAGTTGTGACCTGGCCCCTGCTGAGCCCTCCTGCCTCCTCACAGTGACTGTGTCCTCTCCGGTAGCCCGGCTTCCACACCTGTCTCTGCTCGGCACATCTGTACCCTGCCCTTTTTGCCTGGACATTTCACTCTGTAGGTATCAGCTGAGAGGTCACTTCCTTTAAGAAGCCTGGCCTGACTCACCTTCTCATTTGATGTGTGTGGTCCCAGAGCTCCCTGCTCCTCATCTGTTTATCTGTCTATGATCATGGCAGGAATGTAACCCCCTTAGGTGTACAGGTATAGGGTATGCACATTTCTGTTCTTGGACACTTAGGTAACATTTCAATAATTATATACAACCTGGGCCAGGAACCTGAATGAGCCAAGTTGGCAGCAGTAGAAATTTCAGCTGGAGAGTGCAGTTCACAGGAGCAGTTGGGAACCTGTGCTGAACACCCTCCTCTTAGGATGCTGACTGATGCATGCAGGTGTGTGCTAGTGGCCCTGAAAGAGCCTCTAAGACATGGCACCAAGGACCCGCATCCCTCTGGTTCTTGGTGATGGGTTTGAATGATCAGCTTGTTAAGAAACACATCCTGGGAACTTGTGTGTAGGGTTTCAATCACACCTACCCCAGCTGGGCATTTACACAAATCTGAATGCATTTTAAGTGGTTCTCTGAAACAACAGCAGACTTGCAACAAGCCCAGGTTATTTTGGCTTTCTTTTCCATGTCAGAGTGCTTTAGGGAGCTCATATTCCAAACAGTAATAACTGTATTCACCAAGATCAAGATTCAAAACACTGTCATTCTCCAAACTGAACAAATAACAGTTGTAGGAACAAAATAAAACCTTTCAGATATGATTTGCCTTTGAGGTTGTAAAAGACTACAGCTCTTCTTATATATCCTTATTCTTTCCCTGGTCTATATTATTATTCTTTCTTGGTTTCTTTTGTTTTTTTTTTAAACCTTAATCCTTGTTGTTGTTGTTGTTGTATTTATTTTGGCTGAAGTATATCTGGCTGTATTTGGTAATAGCAGGAAGAAATCAGAGACCACTCTGGCTAATGGAATCCAAGTCCAACTTTCCCCCCTTAGAATACCTCCTTCCCCCACTTAGTCTAACAACTGTCAGCACTGTGGACAGAGCTGTCCCACACAGGCCTCATGCTGAGGCTGGGGGCCCATAAGGACCCCGGAGAGGGGAGCGCTCGCCTCCCACTTCTTACTGTTCCGTAGCTCAGAAAGGGTACGTGTTGAGGTAGTTATGTGGAATTGCCCAGGTCTGGTAAGGAAAGGATCTGAGGTTCAGGATACTGTTTTGTGCCCACAGATATTTTACTATGAGGATAATAATAGGCAGGCAGATGATTTATAGGCAAGGAAACAGATAGTCAGGCATTAATAACCACTATGTCTCCCACTACTGATTGAGTACTTATTAAGTATCAGCCACTGTATTACATTTTTTTACATGTAATGCATGTTTTCTTTGAATACCAAATCTACCAGGTTAAGTTTTACTTCCACTGTACAGAAGCAAACGAGGCTTGGAACCTGCCGACAGCCACAGGGTGAAGGAGAGAAGCCAGAGGGACATCAGTTGTGTCCGACCTTGATGTTCACACTCTCAACACCACATTCTGGAATGTCACATCAGCAAGGTACTCATTATTGGAAGGCTAACTAGAGGCTCCTGGAACTCTAATTGATTTTTCAATCAAGAGAACACTTTTTTACTGAGAAGACAGAAAAATCCTTTTGAAGGCTGCTCTCAGAATTCACTGTTAAGCCCAAATTTCCCCCCACAGGGAACTCCCCCCGGTAGAGTCAGGGTGTCCACCTCGGGAGGCACCTGCAAGCGTGACTGTGTTTTCTCTCTAGAACAGCGTGTCCCAATCTTTTAAAGTTGTCATCCCCGAAGGAGAAACATTTAAATTTTAATTAAAGTTCATTTATTCTTAATAGAAGACTAAATACAAAGAAATAAGATTTTGTCAAGTAGGTTTGAGCTTTGGAGAGCCACAAACTACTGTGATATCCTTCGAGATTTCTTCAGCTCCGAGGAACCAATTTTCACTCCCTGGGAGACAATCTTGCCCACGTTTTGGGTGCTTGGTCCACACAAGGCTAAATCAAACTAAGAAGATTTAAAACCAGTTCTGCCTCAAAAAGAGGGAAATGAGATGGATGATGAGATAGGCATGGCCTGGATGAAACTATTTGCACTCTTGTCAGAATGAAAACAACCCAGCGAAGATACTGTTTCACCCAAAGGGCCCCATGTTTCTTAAAAAAGCAGTAACTGACATTCCCTTCGGGAATCTGAGGTGCTAAACGGAAATTACTTTCCCAGAGTCATACCATAGATTAGTTCAATGGTTTGTAAGTGATTTTAACTTTCCCTTTATACATGTAGTGGTAAAAAAAAAAGTTTTAAACTTGCCAGGTTAAACTGGCAAGTGCTAACTCTGGCTGCCTACCCTGGTTGCTTTTAAACAATACCATGGCCTCACTCTAAACCAATAAACCCAAACCTGTAGGAGAGGGGCCTCCTCAGATGATTCTCATATGCAGCGCAAACCGATAGCTTCTCTGTGTCCTTGCAACACTAAGTGTGGTCCTCAGACCAGGAATGGCCCTGACACCACCTGGGAGTTTGTGGAGGTACGGCATTTTGAAGGCCGACCCTGACTTATTCCCCTACACACAGACTTTTACCAAGGTCTCCGAATGATCTGTATGCATGTTAGAGCTATTTAGGATTTAAAGTTCTAGAGAGACTGAAATGAAACCCTGATTGCAACACGATCCTATAAACCACCTCACCAGAGGGCTGCTGTTCAGACGCCCGGGAAAGGAAGTCCCAGTGCAACTCAGCTTAAGAGAAGGAGCAAAACATGTTCAGCTGCAGTGAGAGCTGAGGCCAGGAGACGAAGGTGACATGTGAGCACTGGGCCAGGTACAGGCCAGATGACAGAGGTGCCGGGAATGCCTTAACATCTTGGCCAAAGTCCAAGTCCATCAGCAGCTCAGAATATGTGTCTCTGGCGCGTCTGTCTTTCCTGTAACTTAGTGAGACTGACTCCTCCGGCCTCCCAGCTTGGAAGCAGGGGGACCTCGGTGCCTCTCCCTCTCAGGGGTGTCCAACCTCGGGCGTCTCTGGGCCTCACTGGAAGAAGAAGAGTTGTCTTGGGCCACACATCAAATACACTGCAACACGTAATCACACACACAAAAATCTC